TCGCAATCTCTTGGTAGGCAGCGCGTGGAGACGATGCGGTCCCAGTCGAGGTTCGAGCCGTATTGCAGCGCTTCTTGCAATTGCAATGCAAAGATACACCCGAGGGTTCTTTGGTCAGTTTCTAGTCCAACAATGCGGATGGTGAGATTGGAAAGGTCAAAATGTAATTGGTACCCGCAGCGCCCCTCTTTTACATGTCCTGGAGAGGTGCTGGGAGAGTGTGGGAAGGGGTAGGGTCGGGCTGGGCGGGGTGGGAAGGGGGAGGGAAGGATTGGGAGGGAGGGAGAAAGTCTGATATACTATTGAATCTCCTTCGGTCACTCCATCGCGCCAATCGTACACGTTTCAGTCTCCGAGGGCGGTCTTCTCCTCGCACTGCTTTCGCGCTCGGTCGTCTTCGTCTCCCCAGCGACCTGCACCGCGCGACAGCCTTGTAATAGATTATCAACTTCCGCAGCAGCACACGAGAAGCACTGATCCACCGAAAAGGAGCCAGGAATCTGACCTAGATTCGATAAGCATCACTCACACTTCACTCCGGCGAGACGTCCTTCGGCGTGGTGGAGGACGAGGTCGAGCAAGTAACAATCCGAGCGGCAGCGCAGCACCGCCCTCCGACCCGCGTCACTGACCAACACACTCTGACGAAAACTCTGCCAGCCGCGCCGCTTCTCTCAGACGATCGCTCACCCGCCCTTTCACTGGATTTCGCTCGTCGCTCTCTGACACGCGGGGATGCACCGTGACGGCTTTTTCCCTGTGAATCATACGGTTTTTAATCGTATGACGAAGTGTCTTCTCCATTTAACTGGGCGACGAAGTGTGTCTTCGGCTCTAACCGTCTGGGAAAAGATACTGGAAGGCGCCGCCGAGGACATGGACGCAGTGGGCAAGGCGGATAAAAACTCTCCCCCTTTCACCGAGGCGGATGGCGCTTTTTAAGCTCATGGATGTTGATTTAATATTTTCCTCAGCGGGTGCTTCTTTCCACGTTCCGCACCAGCGCTGGCACTCAAGCCCCGCCGAAGGAGCCACAGGGAAATGCCCCGGTGATGAATAGAAATCGGGAAGTGAATCACTCGAGGCGGCTCGACCGAGAGAAGTGAGTCACCCGCTCAACAGAGAGGAGCCTCATCGCGTGGAGAGCAGAAGCAAATAACGACAGGCCTTTGCGGCGACAGCCTTGTGTGCAGGCCATACTCACATTTAGACATGTGGCTGATCTTGCTCGTTCTACTTAGCGCTCGTTATAGCACACTGCGAGACACCCGCATGACTCGGCTGTGATCTCCCTCTGTTTGGTGTCCGCCCCTCTATGGGGCCGTTTGTTTACGTTCGGGAAAACTCATGCTGGAGAACCCCGTATATAAGCTATTCTAAACTTAGTAGAGTAGTGTAGCTGTGCTTTTGTTATTCACTTGTCGGAACACAATGTATGCTGAAGTAGGGAGGCTCGTACCTCATCCCCCAAATTGCCGCAGTCACTCACAAATTGGACATTTAGTGTGCTGCATTTGGTCTAGAAGAAGACATTCAATTTACGGCATTAAATCGCCCCATGGCCACAGTACATCATCTCTCTCTTTTCTGTCACATTCTCGCGTAAAGTTTTCGTTCACGTGCCTGTCCTTCTTCCTCTTCTTCCCCCCTTTTTTCCACATCCCTCCCTCCTCACTTAACGCGTCGACGTCGTCCTCTCCTCAACACGCTCCTCCGCGGCATTCATCCCCGGCAGCAGCTTCACCAAGGCTCCTCTCGCCGTCCATCCATCAACCTTTCATTTCGCGACGTCCCTTGGCCACCTCTTTGTCACCATCTGCGTCACTGCCCGTTTACGTCACCCATTTACGTTACAGTCTACATCCTCATTTCGCTGGTGTATCCTCCTGCATCGCCGTCGGCATTACAGCTCTATCCGATTACGGCTTCGAGGGGAATGCACTGTAAGATGTTGTGCATGCGCATCATATTCCACACATGTTGTTTTCTACCTACGTCGAGTATTTCTAGCACTGATATCTGGTTACATCATTAGTAGACGAAATATTTATCTGCGTATATCATCTTCTAATTAGATCATTAGTTGACACTATTTTTGTAGGCTGCATGCTATTTTCATCAATGGCAGACTAGACAGTTAACTATGTTGTTTTTTTATAATATAATATATGTATTATCTACACTATTAATCACGCAAGTTACACATCATTCCTACACTTCTTTGTCTATAAAAATAACCTATATTACTTCAAAAGTCCCTCAAAAGTTCCATGTCTATCGCTACACCATCGGTTGTCTGTATCACCGGCCTGCTACACTTACTGACAATATACAGCACTAGGGGCCTTGCCTGCATCACCCACGGTCGCCATCTGTCTCGGTTAAACGGACCCATTCACGTATTCGTTTTTTTTTTTTTTTTTTTTTTTTTTGAAGGGGGGGGGGGGGAGGGTCAGTGGAGTAAAAGGATTGAAAGGTTGTGGCTTCCCCTCTTTATTATTCCGCCCACTTATGAGCTTTTTACTTCTTTCGATTTCTTTTCTTTCTTTTTTTCCCTCCACTGTCTTGCGTATTTGTTAAACCCTCTATTCAGGCTATTTGTCACTCCCTCCCCTCTCCTCCTACCCCCACCCCCATCCCCACCCCCACCCCACCCCCCCTCTCTCTCCACTGCAAATCCTCCCATTCACCTTTTCATCGCGACCTTCCTTAATTCCCTATTCATTACATATCCGCTTTCGTCTCACACCCGCAAACCTGGCTTGTGAAACCCATCCCACCCCACCCTACCACCTCCCCCCCCCTTCTCCCCCTCAATGCAACCCCTTCCCCCCAACTAAATCCCACTCTTTCTTCACCTACCCCCCCCCTCCTCTCCCCTTGCTCCCCATCTCTCCTCACCTCCACCCTCTCCTACACAAGTCTCTTCCCCTACTTCATCCCTCTTCCACTACTCTCCCCTCTCCCCCTCTTTACCCTCCTTCCCCCTCTCCTCACCCCCCCTCCTACTCAAGTCCCTTCCACCACTCTCCCCTCCCCTCACTTTACCCTCCTCTCCCCTCGCACCCCCTCTTCCTTACCTCCCCCTAAACGTTGACCCACCCCACCTTCCCCACGCCCACCCTCTCCCCTCACCTACCCCCACCCCACTCACTCCCCTCCCTCCCCTCATCTCCCCCTCCCCTCTTACCTACCCCCACCCCACTCACTCCCCTCTCTCCCCTCATCTCCACCTCTCCTCTCACCTACCCCTACCCCACTCACTCCCCCCACTCCCCTCGTCTCCCCCTCTCCCCTCACCTACCCCCACCCCACTTAGCCCAAACCTACCCCTCTACCCTCACCCCCCCACGTCTGGCCTGTCTGATCGCTGACATCTAAACGGGATGCCAGTTATTCACAGTACTAACAGGCACGACACGACACGACCTTCTGACTCGGAGGGCTGGGGTCGTGCCCTTGTTTTGTGTTTGTTTGTCTCTTTGTTTGTTTATTTGTTTGTCTGTCTGTGTGTTTGTCTGTATGTTTGTTTGTTTGTCTCTTTGTTTGTCTGTGTGTGTTTGTTTGTCTCTTTTTTTGTATGTTTGTTTGTTTGTCTCTTTTTTGTATGTTTGTTTGTTTGTCTGTTTGTTTATATGTTTGTCTGTCTGTGGGTTGATTTCTTCAGATTATTGTGTTTTTGTTTTTTTGTTAGAAATTTGTTCTGTATTTTTAGGAATCTTTATTTATTCATTTTTGTGTGGATTCTTTGTTTGTTCGTTTGGATTGTTTATTTGTTCTCTTTGATTTTTTGTGGTTTCTTTGTTTCTTTGTGTGCTTTGTTTATGTGTTCTGTTTATTATTTTTGTTATTTAATTCGTTGTGTTTGCTTTGTTTACTTTATTAGGAGTTTATTCGTTTTTTTTTTTACTTTTTATTTGTTTATTTTCTTTGGAGTTTGCTTGTTTGTTTGTTTCTTTATCTAATGAAAATATATAATACTGATGTACTGAAATATATAGAGTTTCGCTTAAGGATGGAAGGAGAGATAGATAGAAAAAAGAAGATAAACAGAGATGAAGACAAAATAGAAATAGACAGAGGCAGAGATAAAATGGATAGATAGATAAAGAAGGAGATGGACAGAGGCATAGATAAAATAGAAATAGACAGAGATAGATAAAATGGAGATAAAAAGATATAAACAGGTAGACAGGTAGACATATAAGTAGCTAGAACGTAATGTAATAAACGGATAAAGAGATAGATAGACAAAGAGTTAGATAGATAGATGAGTGATAAACAGATAGCTGGAAAGAAAAAAGGGAGAAAAGGAAACAAAGAAAGACAAACAGGCGTTCAGATAAAGGAATGGATGGAGAGATAAAGAGGTAAACAGATAGATAGGTGAACAAACAGAACTTCTCTTTCTCTTTATCTATACATACACATTACAGGCAACTGCATAATATCCCCCTTCCTCATATCAGTTCTCTGTTTGTCTGTCAGTCTGCCTGTCTGTCGCTCTCTCTCTCTCTCTCTCTCTCTCTCTCTCTCTCTCTCTCTCTCTCTCACTCTCTCTCTCTCTCTCTCTCTCTCCTTTTCTCTCTCTCTCCCTCTCTTTTTCTCTCTTTCTTTCTCTCTCTCTCCCTCTCCTTTTCTCTCTTTCTCTCTCTCTCTCTCTCTCTCTCTCTCTCTCTCTCTCTCTCTCTCTCTCTCTCTCTCCTCTCTCTCTCTCTCCTTTCCTCTCCCTCTCTCTCTCCCTCCCACCCCCTTTCTCTCCTTCCCTCCTTCCGTCCCTCCCTTTCCACACCCCCCCCCCCAAAAAAAAAAAAAAAAAAAAACGGAAAAAAAAACACGACACAACATAAATAGCTAGAAAATCACTCCCATTAATCCACGCCACAAGCACTCAGAAAGAAGACTTAACTCTTTTGATAATAGCCAATGCAAACAGAGGTCGCCTGAGAAGACAGCGAAGGATCAGCACATCGACAGAAATAAGCAGAGATTGCGTGTGTGAGGTGTAGGGAAGGGGTGAGGGGGGAGGGGAAGAGGGGAGGGGAATTGGGAAGTGGGAAAGTGTGGAAAGGGAAGGGGAAGAGAGAGAGAGAGAGAGGGAGAGAGGGGGGGAGGAGAGGGGAAAGGGTAGATAAAGAAGGGAAGGGGGGGTGGGGGATTGGGGAAGTGGGAAGGGAAGGGGAAGGGCAAGGGTGGAAAGGATAGGGAAAGAGAGAGAGGAAATAGAGGGAAGGGGGGAAGGGGGAAGGGAAGGGAAAGGGTAGAAGGGGTAAGGGAAAAGGGGAAAGGGGAAGGGAAGAATGAAGGGAAGGTGAGGGTAATTAGGAATGGGAAAGTGGGAAGGGAAGGGGAAGGGGGAAAGAAAGGGAGGGAAGAGGAGGGGAAGAATAGAGGGAAGGAGGGAAGAGGAGTGGAAGAAGGGAAAGGTAATAAAGGAAAGGAAAAAAAACGGGAAGAGGGAGGGGGAAAATTGGAGAGGGGAGGGGGAAGGGGGAAAATATTAGAAGGGAGGAGAAAAAGAAGTGAAGTGGGTGGAGAGAAACGAACCCAGGGGAGGGATGTGAATAGAGGGGGGGGGGGGTCAGGGAGAAGGGGAATAGGGGGTAGAGAAAGGAGGCGGGAGATATGGATAGGAGAGTGGGAGAGGAAAGGG